CTGTAATGTACAGAATGCATTAGAGCTACTGTTCAACTTACAAACGTTCGTTTAGCAATTGCTCATAGTTACAACAGCACCCCCAAAAAGTCACAACCAATCCTCATACTTATGACAATTGCAGCATCCTCACGGGCACACGATCAAAATTCTGGCCCTCAGCAATTGGATATATATTTACAACAACTGCAATGCCCAGAGTCATGCGCTCACTGTTTGTTGTCTTCTTAGCCACTTCCCACAAGCAAAATCTATAGGGCCATGATGGCGAAATCTATGGCACGCGTGCCAGAGGTGGCACACAGAGCCCTATCAGTGGGCAAGCGCACCATTTCTAGCTGCTCTTCTGGTTCCTGGCATGCACATGAGTGCTGGACAGCTGGTCTTCACGGGCGACGGCACACTGGAAAACAGCCCGGAAATCAGCCAAAAAGCAGGCTGTTTTCGGGGCCTTTTCAGGCCCTTTTTCGGGCTGTTTTCATTCTGAAAACAGTCTGAAAACAGTCTGTAAAGCAGCCTGAATATGGCCTGGAAAATGGCCTGAGGAGTGGCCTGGAGAATGGCCTGAAAAATGGCCAGAAAATGGTCTGAAAATGGCCCAAAAACGGCCTGAAAAATGACCAAAAACCAGCCTGAAAATAGGCCCAAAAATTTCCTAAAAGGGGGCATGCACACACTGGCCAGTTTGTCTTTGGTTTTCCAGTGTTCCAGCACTGGTTTGGGTACTCGGTGCCAAAAAAAGGTTTGCCACCACTGCTTTAGGGGGTTTGATTCATGACTGCATGGTTCGCTTAACAAGTGGAGTGATTTGCTTAAGGACCGTGCAAAAGAAAGAAGATCATATTGTCAGGTGCGATTGACTTAACCACTGATTTGCCTAGCAACCAAAAATTCTGCTTCCAGTTGTGTTTGTAAGACCTGAGACCTACTTTAGCACGTTCATTTCACTGACTTTTCTCCAACAGGCATAATTGTAACCGCTCAACGTGAACTTTTGGAGAACAACAAATCACGGCTAAATTTGACCATATGGTTCAAAAATTAGAAATTCAAGAAGTTGGCAGTGAAATGATCACTAAATAAATCTCTCCCTCATCTCTGCTTTAAGGGCAGCAGATGTTCACGCCTGTTCATTCCAGCACCAAGTGAAATGCCACCTGCCAACTTTCAAAGGCCCAACAGATGCAGACGGCAGAGGAGCAGGCCAACCGGTGGTTTCTTTGGTCAGTTGGCAACCTGCTGGGCTGTTGTGGTTCGCCGGGAGCAGGTGCGGACTGCTGAGGTCTCTGACAGCGAGGACTTAGACAAGGGGCGTGTGATTCAAGGATGGGGCCAGGACTATCAGAGAGTGGGGTGCTGCCTTCGGAGGTTGTGGAGTCTAGCAGCAGTGATGAAGAGGACCCCGAGGAGCCTGTGCTTAGTGTGCTTGCGCGCAGGACTGTTTGAAGGAAAGAGCAGCTGAAGTAGCATGGGTGACTTGCGAGTAAGGCTGGAAGTTGATGGCCCCTCTCATAAGGGATAAAAGCCAGCCTTCGGGGTTGGCTTCTTTGCAGGAAGCAAAGAAGTTCTTTCTGCTCAGAGTCCTCGTTGAAGCCCTGCTTACTCCGGTTTGTTTTTGGAAACTTCTGGCTTTGGATATTTATATGCAATTAGTCTTTTGTTCTTGGAAGCCTTTCGCAACCTTGAAAGGGCTTGCTCTTATCTGGGACAATTAGTTTTGAATGACTCTTGACTGTGAATGCACAGAATTCACAGTGCCGCATTTAAAAGGTGTGCTTTTATACATACTTTGTGTTTGTTTGATTTGAATAAGGCTTGGGTCAGAACATGGGCTTCCTGGTCGCTGTGTGATTGAACCTCTTGGAAATGCCATCATTCTGGCCAGTTCAAATAAAAAAAAAAAGCTACTATTTCGATTTATTAGCTATTTCCTTTTGAGTGCCAAGAGCAGAGGCCACCCGGAGTTGGGTAATTGAATTAATCCAAGGATTTGAAAGACAGCATCTTCAGGGGCTGCAAAAAACCAAGTTGTTGATATCGGGCATTGGGTTGTTTCTGGAGAAAACAGGACATCTGGAATGAAAGTCTACTCTGATAATTGACAATAGTAGAGTAGACAAGTCTACGCTACTATTGACCTCACCCCTTTCCTAAGAGGTCTGTAGGGGGGCGTGCATAAGCGCACCAACGTGCCTACCGTCCCTGTCCTATTGATTCTTTTTATTTTTCTTATATGTATCCATTTCATGTATTCATAACTGTGTTTATACTAATACCTGTTATCTTATAATCGCTTGACAAAATAAATAAATAAATATTTAAAAAATAAACATCTGGCTAGATTCAACAGCTGGCTTTCCTTCCACTAAAAATGCCCTGGACTCACCACAGCTGCACTCTCAGCCTTTCCCATAAAAGGAATACAAAAATGGGCATCTTCAGCAGACATATTAACAGAATAACGGAGTTGGAAGGGGCCTTAGAGATCTTCTAGTCCAACCCTCTGCTCAGGCAGGAAACTATATACTATTTCAGACGGATGCTTGTCCAATCTCTTCTTTAAAACCTCCAGTGTTGGAGTACCCACATTGTCTAGGGGCAAGTCGTTCCACTGATTAATTGTTGAAACTGTCAGGAAATTACCCCTGAATTCTAGGTCGCTTCTCTCCTTGATGAGTTTCCATCCGTTGCTTCTTGTCCTGCCCTCAGGTGCTTTGGAGAATAGCTTGACCCCCTTTTCTCTGGGGCAGCCCCTCAAATATTCGAACACTGCTATCATGTCACTCCTGGTCTTTCTTTTCATTAAACTAGTCATAATCGGTTCCTTTCAACTCTGTTCTCTGTGTCAAACTGCCGACCTGCGGGGGAGGTTGAATACATCACACCCAAGTCGGGCCCATCCCAGCTCCACGAAGGGGAAAAAAGACGTCACAATACGTCACATGACGGCAACATAACGCAGTGAGTTTGAAAACCGTGATATATACAGAAAGTCCTTAACTTGCAACCATTCGTTTAGTGACCAAGGCACTCCTTGCGTCCAGTTTTGGTCACCACATTACAAAAAAAAAAAAAAAAAGAGGTTGAGACTTTGGGAAAAGTGCAAAGAAGAGCAACTAAGATGAATAAGAGAGTAAAACATATGAAGAACGGTGGCAGGATTTGGGTTTGGCTAGTCTGGATAGAAGAAAGACCCAGGGGGGACATGAGAGAGCAGTATTTCAGTATTTGAGGGGCTGCCACAAAGAAGAGGAAGGGGTCAAATTATTTCCCAAACCATCAGAAGGGCAGGACAAGAAAAAAAATGGACGGAAACTAATCAGGGAGAGAAGCAACCTTGAATTCAGGAGAAACGTCCTAACTGTGAGGACAATTAACCAGTAACCAAGACTGACAGGATAGTGGAATCCCCAGCCAAGAAAGCTGGTGACCTCCATTGGATGGAGAGACGTTCAAGCAAACGACCTTCTGTTGAGGTACTGCTGGAAGTTATAACCCGCCCCACTCCTATGATAATGAAATATCTTAGGATATACTAAAAAAAAAGGCAGAATATTTCCCCTAAAAGAGAAGTCGAAACTCAGAGAGGCAGAAACTCAACCCCACCCCAACTTCGTCAATAGGCCGTTGAGGCCTGAGCCAGTCTTTTCTACATAACAAAGACCTACCTCCTTCAAGCAGAGCCATCATAGGAATCCCAAAGCCCTTTTATTACATCATCATCCAGCAAGGCTCAACCAAGGCCTGAGACTCAAAAGACAGCCTACAGAGTTGCCCCTGCATGGCCCCCAAGGGAGTCTGACAACCAATTAGAACGCAAGCTCAAATCCAAAGCCCAACAGAGGGCATAACACCCAGGCACTCTCAGCATCTCCTCCCTGTTCACCCAGTGTGATGACCCAAAGGGGCGTGGCACAAGGGCAACACAGTCAGATAATCCGTAGGAGTCCCTTTATTAGCTCCAACTTTGCCCCCAATGTCCTGGTTACCTTCTGGACTGGAGAAAAACTTTCCCAGGTACAGCCTTTGACTGCAGAGAATCAAGTCCAAAACATGGTCAACAAAAACTGTAAGTATAAGTCCAATCAAGGCAAGGTGCGGTAATTAGTCTGGCAGGACAGGAGAAGGAATTCCAGACGTGAAGGAACGGTGGTAATTCAAGGATGCCAGGAACGCAGATAAGCAAAGTCAACACAAGATAAACTCACGTTTGCTCCCAGCAGCTGCTGCACTCAGCATGCATCTCTTTTAAACTCTCTTTCCAGATGTGGCTAATGGAGGGAATCGGGGCCCTTTCCTCCCCCGTAAGCCATGCAACCCACATTGCTCTCTTCTCTGTTCCTCCATGTGTGCCCTAGCATAAAGAAGGGGTGGGCCTGGGTCTTCCTCTCAGCGTCTTTCTTCCCCACTTGGAACTGAACCCAGAAGGATGTTTTCTTCCAGCAGTGCCTTCAACTTGGACTGTTGCCCTGAGCAGGGGTTGTGTCAGGGCTCCAACAAATCCACCCCCATTTAAATCATAGTCTCTAGCCACATCTCTTAGAGTAAAAAACAATTGATTTATTAGGAGTGACCATGTTGGTGTTAGCTGGGTGCAGCCAACTCTAAGACACATCATTCATTTCCCCCTTGACCCTGGTCTTACCCCCCACCCCCTGGATGTATATTCTCCACTGGGACACATCCATAGCCAAGAATCATCAATCATGCTCTCCAGTAATAATCTTGCGCGCCAACAGCTTCAGCTGCCTAGCAATTATCTGAAGCATTTCAGGAATGCACTACTTTTCACCACTCCCAAAGGAGTATTTTTTTTAGTTGACAGGTTGGACTACTAAATTATTTCCATGGCCCCTTTCAATGGTAGAATTCGTTACTTCTATTAAAAAAAATAATACTCATGGCTGAATCACCGTGATGGTAGCACCCCAGGCAAAATAAAAATAAATAAATAAATAAATAACCAGTCAGCCAACAAGGAGAGCAATTAAAACAGGCACCTCAAGGAAGTCCTGGCTGTCCACAGAGCTCTGACGAACCAACCTGCGCACCAGTGAGGTCCGAGTGTGGCCCAAGGACGAGAGGGCAGGCAAGGTTTTTGCCTCGTTCCACTCCACGTGCAGCGTATTGTCCACAGCCACTGCAGGGGAGAGCAGAGAGTGAGGTCAACCTCCAGGGTGCCACAAGAGGGAGACAGAGAGCAATCCCTTCACGTCAGACTTCTCAACCTTGGCCACTTTAAGACAGGTGGACTTCAACTCCCAGGATCCCGTGAGCTAACATGACTTGGAGGAGGAATGCTGGGAGTTGAAGTCCACCAGTCTTCAATGTCTATGGCAGGGCTCTTCAAACTTGATAGCTTGAAGACTAGTGGATTTCCACTCCCAGAATTCCTCCTCCAGTCATGTTAGCTCATGGGATCCTG